TTCCGGTAACTATACGGGCGCACTTACTTAGTACTGTAGAGAGTATTAATAAGAATAGTATTATTAAGACACGTGTCAGATTATCTATTAAGTATATACTAAGTATAGATTCTTTAGAAGAGTGTTTAAAGGAATTTAAAGAGATTAAGTAAAGAAGAGATATAGCTAAGTAAATTAAGAAGCTTAAGAAAAAGATAGAGAGAGAGAAGAAAAGAAAAAGAGAAGCTTTTATAAATATAGAGTATATATCTAGTAGATATATAGTATATTAAGAAAACTATTTTAGTTTCCTTAGCTAAAAGATATTAGTATATAACTAAGTCTAATATATACTCTGTCTATTCCTAGATTCTATTTATATATCCATGATTTATCCCTAAATATCTTCCCAGCATATGCCTTGCATATGTCCTAAGCAGTTATAGACACAGACTCAGTAGTCTTCTTGCCGCGCGCTGGCTGCTTCCTAACACTAGTAGCTATCAAACTCTCAGTATATACTTAGTATAGAGAGAAGATAGTAGGCTTACTATTAGGGCCCTTCTTAGAGGTAGCACGCTTGCTCTTGGAGGTGGATAAGAAGATAGAGATATTAGAGAAAGATTTATACTATATATATTCAGTATATTGTAAAGAGGCTTAGAGAAAGAGACCTGCCTTGTGACTAGAGATCTTTCCAGGCTTCTAAGCAACATTAGCATATGCAGAAGATATATAGAGTAGATAGTCAGGATTATATACAGGGTAATAAAACTCAGTCCTAAACTTCTGGATAAAGTCATTATTCTCCTGGCTAGTAGTTCTTAGTATATATTTTATATATACTAAAGATATGCTTAACTCACGCCAGTTCCTCAAGAAAGTCACAGTAATCCTGGATAAGACTGTACTTAGGACTCTCACTAGCATACCTTAGACTTGAATCCAATATATATATATGTAGAGAACATACCCAGGCTCTTTAATATAACAGGCAGTTCTCTATTCTTTACTAAGGACCTATTGCTTCAAAGTGCTGCAGATCATTAGTATATACTGGAGATATACTATATATATACTAACTTTTCACCTGTAATGTGCTCGGCTTGAGAAATATTTATACAGGAAGGATTGAGAGCTAGGTATCCTTAGCAAGTGCTAGATATATACAGGGAATAGATAACTTACTGGCACCAGGATAGATATTCTGGATATGGCAGCGGAGCTATAAATAGATTAGTATATACTGAGAATATACTGAAGAAGTTAATCTACTGTAATCTAAGAAGTAATAGACTGGCTACATATCTGGTTGCTGTTGACTGCAATATCGCAGCTATGAGATGGTCAGCATATACTGGGTATATACTAGATATATAAATTACTTACACCATGCCATTAATACCTGACAGTCTCAAGCCAGGAGTTGGGGCATCTATAAATAATTAGTATATACTGAACATGTACTGCAGTTTTTATACCCTTATTATCAGCGGTGGTCATAGGGGTGCGGGTGTCGGGATGTGGGCGCCAGCCGGGGTTAGGATTCAGGATGGGACCTATATATGTTTAGTATATATTATCTATATACTGAGTATATACTCACCATGAAAGTAGCTATAGTCAGGATAGGGATTCACTATCCCAGTAATCTCTGGATTATTAAAGTCTTCACATAAAAGATGTATTCTCTGTATATTGGCGGTATATACTGAGAATAAGGCAGGGATAGAAACTGGATTATTGGTATATACTCAGCATATACCAGAAGGGGACTTGGGATACTTACTAAAGAAGAGAAGTTTAAAGAGAGATAGAGAAAGAGAAAAAAAAAAATTAGATTTATTAGCTTAAGTATAAATATAAATATAGCTAACATTTTTATTACTTAATTAGGATATTAATTATTCATAATATATTATAACTTCTGTCTGTATTATTGATATAACTAGTGAATATATTGACTATATATATTAATAATATAGTAAATAATATCTCGCGGGCTTATATTTCAGGTATATATCTAGTATATGCTCTGACCGGGAGACTGGCGCTAAGCCAAAAAGGTCAACGTGGTTAAGCTCTAGTGAAGGGGTTCAGCATGGTCTAAAACTTGGTTAAAATTTAGTTTTAGACCATGCTGAGCATATGCCAAGAAAAGGCTCATCGTGGTCTAAAAAGGCGGTGGTGGAGGTGGCAGAATTTTAAACCACGCCGAGGTTTTTTTAGACCACGCTGAGCTGGCACCCTTCCCACGAGCGAAGCTCTGAGATAGCCGTCTCTTAGGTCAGCAGCCCCACACGCCCTTCGGCGTGTTGGTCTGCCTCACCTCAACGCAAAATTTGAAGCTATTCAAGCTCCTATACAACATCGCCTTGAGTATCTATCCAAAAAGGTAGTCTAGGGCCTTCCTTATCCACCTGACTGGCTTCTGTACTAGGCAGATCCCCTGTATCTGCCTGTTGTGGTGGTTTACTGTGTTCCAAAGTTTCTCTTTTTCTAATCTGTCTAAGACCCTGTAGTCTTTTTACCTCAGTACAATCTGTAATTCGGCGTTTTGCATTATATACAGTTAGTGGCCTATTATATTAAATCCTTTTCTGTGATTTCTGTTTATTTTAAGGCTTTCAGTATTGAAGTTGTTATTGTAGATTATCTTTAAGCTAAGCAGCTAGTTCAGTAGCTTCTAGTAAACTCTGGAATACACGGTCAAGGCGTTATACAAAGCTTTAATCAAGCTCTGGACTATTATTAATAAAGCACTGTGCTTTCTTAATACTTTGACAAAGACCTTATATTATAGATAGCAGTGATAAGCTTAATAGTAGTAGTAATAGTATTGTAATTATCTCAAGTCCTGGAGCAGTCTCTAAAGCCTTATATAGAGACTTTATTATCTTCTCTAAATCCAAGGAATACAGGCCTTGCTTCTTAAATATATCCTGGATTATATATTGTTTAAAAGTCATTATATAAATAGAATAAATCTCTTTTAAGAAATTACTCTTATTATCTATCTCAGTATCTCTTTAAATAAGTTTATTATTTCTTTTATAATAAAAGTGCTTATAGATCTGAAAAGGTTGTCTATCAAGAGATTATACAAGATGTGTTGTATAAGGAGAAAAATAATAAGATATAATATAGTATTATCTATAGAATTAAAGAAATTTATAGATAAGATAGGACTTATAGCTATTAAAAAGTAATAATTAAACCTCTTTTTTTATAGAGATACAGTATTTTATATGACGGTGGAAGTATTAAATCCAGTCAAGGCCAATCTTATCTGAAGTATAGCCTTTAGAAGATAGAGCTATTTAATATTTCTCTGGAATATCTATATTATATCACTACTCAAGATGATATTTTCCTTTAAATATAAAGTATAAAAAAAGAGTAAAGCTATCTGCTATAATATACTTAATTATAGAGATTAATTTATCTATTTCTTTAGTTAGATTCTCTCTTGCAGCTTATAAAGGTATAGTAGTCATAATCTTTTAAGTCTTTTCTTGTTCTAGTTAGAAACCAGTTTCATCAAAGTTATATATATTTTTAGAAGGAATCTGCTTGATAAATGGCTTTAAGCAGTTATACCAGTGTTAAAAAACATCTATATCTTCTGTATTAAGATACTTTTTATCTTTTAGCTTTTACTAAATAAGCTTAAACTCCTCCGGAAGACATTTAATAAAGCAATAAACCTAGTTCTTGTTAACTGTATAAGATAGCCTGTCAGTTATATTCCGCTACAGTATTTAGTTAGCACTCTGCTTAATCATTCCGGCTGTAGATAAACTATATAGATTATCAAGCTGATAAATCCAATAAATCAGTACCTTCTCTTATGAATTATTAAGAGTCTTTTTAGGGATAGGACGTGTGCTTTGTGTAGCTTGGCCATAGATACGTCCTTGGAGTCGGTAATAAGGAACGTCAAATTGACGCGCTAATGTAGAGATATTTGGTTTTTTTTGGCCCCGAGCAGCTTCACAGGCCTTCAAGACACGTGTCTCAATATCAGAATAGGAATCAGGCATGGTGGTGGTATATAGGAGCTTGAATAGCTTCAAATTTTGCGTTGAGGTGAGGCAGACCAACACGCCGAAGGGCGTGTGGGGCTGCTGACCTAAGAGACGGCTATTGTCTATCTCGAATACAAACAGAACAAACAAGAATCATGCACTACTTGCCGATATTCACTATGAACTCAGCAGCCTGTATAGTGACTGCGCCGTCACAGTAGGAATAGATTATAGAATAAATATATTCGCTAAGTGTCTTTATCTATACCTCTACGAATTAAGGGACACTATTCTACATTATAGCACTATAGATAATATGTTCTTTTAATTGTAAAATATTTAATATATACTAAGGTCTTAGGTCTATATTTACTGATATGAATCTATAGGAGACACGTGATCGCCTAGCGGCTTGGCCGGATCACCCACTCCTTCAGCCCCTGAGGGTTTTACCCATTAGTAGTTGAGAAAGAGAAGAAGAAGCGCTTAAGATAGTTGATACAGTCGTCCATAGAATTGAGTATCTACCAGAATGGCATCCGGTCCTCAGTAGGCTACGTACGTGTAGCTGATACAGCCTCATCCTGCCTATCTTTCCCCTGAGATCACAACATTTACTATCTAACTAAATATAGATAGTTAAAAGTTATAGTGATCTTTGGCCGCACTACAAAGCGAGGCCTGGGAGTCCTAATATTATAAGAATTAAAAAGATATATAGAGACACTTAGTAAATATAAAAGAGATATAAGGTGTGAGAGTACCCATATCATGGTTCTTACGGGTTGCTGCTACTTCTGCGCGTTACTACGTCCAATACCCAGAGGGTTTTTTCCACAGTCTTCAGGGCTTGCCCTTAGTCTAACGAAGTATATTCATATTCTTCAAACCTCCAGACTTCTTTGTCGATAGTCCCCAAGTTCCCCTGTGCCAACGTCTCCGTAAACCTCTCTTCTCTATGCCATATACCTCACCGGTTATCTATCTTTCACAATGCCTGGTCGGAAACTTGCTCCTCGTCAAAACGTTGAGTTCCCCACTCTTGATGGCCTCAAAATTCGCGGATGGCTCTTTCCGGCACAGAGTTATGGCCCAGCTGTCATTATCACACCTGGGGTAATGACCTTTATCCCCTATCCTTGGGTCCATGTGCTAACTTCATTTAGTTTAACTGTGTCAAAGAGATGTTCGTCTCAGAAGTAGCAGAGTCATTCCAGCAGTCCGACGTCACTGCATTAGTTTACGATCCTCGCGCGCTGGGCGAGAGCGACGGTCTGCCCCGCAACAACATAGATCCATTAGCCCAAGTTGCGGACTACTCCGATGCTCTCACGTTCCTTAAGACACAGTCAATCATCGACCCAACGAATATCTCGTTCTGGGGGATGTCCTTCTCTGCCCTTGTGGCGCTCAACACGGCAGCCCTAGACAAGAGAGCCAGATGTTGCATTGCCGTATGCCCGTTGACTAGCATGCAACCCGAACCTGACATGCTTCCCAAAGTCCTTGCTAGATGCATGCAGGACCGAGAGTCACAGGTGGTCGGCAATCCGCCAGTTACCATTTCTGTCCTGACGGAACAGGGGCGGAATCCCGCCGGCATGGGAATTGGCGCCGACAAAATGGAATACGACTACATGGTAAATGCCAAGTTCAGAGGAGCCCCAAATTACGAGAATCGGACAACTCTACAGAGTTACTATAAGATGATGGCTTGGCAGCCCTTCGAGATCATGAAGTACCTTTCGAAGACAAGAGTGCTCATGATCATCCCGGAAAAGGACACCATTTCACCCGCTAATAAACAGCAGGCGTTGTTCGACGGCTTCCCGGAGCCGAAGACGGCCCACGTGGCCAAAGGGAAAGGTCATCTTGACGTTCTGAGCGGAGCAGACTACGAGATATTGGCGGATATGCAAGCGAACTTTATAAAAGGCCTACAGTGCAAATGATTTGAATCGAGCTCGTACATATTTGAGACGTTTGTTAGCAATCATTTTCCGCCTTCGAAAAAGTTGCATGGCAATGTCTTGATCTGATGACGATACGAAGTGTTGCATCGATATTTCCGCCTGCTTGTGCTTTGCTATTCTTCTCTGTAGAATTTCCACGAGTGTGGAAGATATATTGGGTTTTTAAATATATATTTCCTCAATGGGTGTTCATCCCGAGTAAGCTGATTATTATATGTAGGACATCTCGTAAAATATTAGTATGAACAATGTGAAAACAATCAGTTTTTATGATCCCTATCGAGCTACCTAACTCCAAGGCCTATCAAGATAGGGATCATAGAGCCACTTATATCTGGTCTGGGTACTATAGTATTCAGCAATCTACATACTTCCGCAGGTGGTCAATTCTCTAGGCATATATCAGGTCCCTGCGATACAAGGTAATTTTATGGGTGTATTCAATGATATATGATACACTGACAGCCGCAATGACATCGTATTTTGCCCATTCATGATACCCCATGTCAATAAAAAACGCATCTGTAAGTACCACAGTATATAGGAATCATTCCTTTCCAAACGATTATCTGAGAAGTGAATAAAGGCATTGAGGTGGCACCTCAGGTATAAGGAGGCCTGAAAAGAACCGAGTTAGTCGTTGTTGTGTCAACAATAGTTAGTGGCTGGCCAAATTGTCTCCGGGCCACAAAGGCTATTGACCAGAATACTTGAATCTGATGCTCAACGCCGTGAGGCTTCATTAAACTCTCCCGACCAACTAAATTCGTCAATCATTATTATTATTGCTAAATGGGCCACCAACGGAGCGGTGGAAACCAAACAGACTTTAGTCTGACTCTAAATGCCTTGGTTGATTGTTGCAGTGATCGTAAACTCAGCACATAGTCATCTGTCTGGCCCTGTACTGATCGTGAATATAATATTTTTATTTAAATGTTTAGTTAAAATGGCTTGTCATGTTAGTGATCATGCTGATTGGGTGACAATAAGTCATTTTGTTGATATTTTTAGCATATGTGATGGGTCAGCTGTAGCCCCAATCAGCACGATCACTAACACGCTTTCAGTGGACCTATAACTGGGGAGGCTGTATAGGCGCTATAATACCTAAGAGAGCACCCAGCGCTAATGAACCAACATCTCCCATAAATAGCTTAGCAGGATATCGATTGAACCATAAGAAACCTAAAACTGCACCTATAACATTGCCACCTAAAACAATCAATTGCTGGAGTTTTATAGAACGTATCTTTTTTAAGATTTTTTTTGGTTAATTGACCCGTATAGACTTTTCCTAATCCATAAACCACGCTGGAATCAATTTGTAATGGCATATTTTTTTGAAGTCTTTTTACAATAATAGCTGCAATTTTAGGCCGCTCTTCAGCGATAGATGTCCCCTGAACTTCTCCAACGCAATCGAGGTGCTTACCCCTCGGCTGGACCTGTAGGCGTCTGTTTCAGCCTGCTCAAAGCAGATCCAGAGGTCAAGCTTATGGGAATAGGGACTTTGAGTCCTCGTAGAAGATTAATTATGATTTATTGGGTATACTCAGAAAAGTAAAAAAATAACGCCGTGCCTCAAAAATTGTAAGTCTACATCATATTTATCAACACCTTCGATAGTGGTAGTTGTAGTCAAATGCGAACAGAATACCAATCAAGTGTACCACTGTGGCAAGCACCACAAGGACATGGAAAATTTGATGGGAACTTCCGAATATATCGAATTTGCCAGGTTTCAATGATTCGGGAATTCGCAACTATATCTATTAGTCACCACCCCTCTTAGGTCATAATTTAAATACTGACCGCATAGAAGAGTGCACCCAGTATTAATAATAGTCCTTCAAGGTAATATGCTATACCAGAGTGTTTCAACATTTGCGCAAACCCAAATAGCTTGATTCCATGGATAAGAGGCACGAAACCTGATAACCCAGTGCCGACAAAAACACAAACACGGAAGGTTCGCCAGCGGAGACCTTGATACTTTGGATGCACTAGTATGAATGCTGTTACCAAGCTGAGCGTGATTATCTGTACAGAGGATTCGTTAGCGTTTATATGTCGACAAAAGGCGGGATTTACATACCATGGCCCAATATATCTTTTGTAAAACAGGTTCATAGTAGAAAACCATGACAATCCCAGACACGAAGTCTCCCAGGGTTAAAACAATAATTCCTAAAAAATCAAGTCGTAGCCATACACTTGAGACCTGGGCCGAATGATTCATCAAGGTATGGTACGTAGCCGACAGACCCAGGCATATTACTGCCGTAAAAAGGAAAAATGCAAAAACAACATGATCAATGATTGTAGCATTGGGATACCGGGCATGAAGGTACCGATACATCACACCTTCGGCCACCAGAAAAAGAATACCAGGTAGTAAATGCGAATAAATATTGACAGTTTCATTGTGCAGAGATAGCCAACTAGCGAAGCTCGCACGAGTAGAGTTTGTCTCTACGTCTGCATAGTTTATAAGTGTGGCCTAGGATAGATGGAAACAATATTACCCAGACTTTTAACTTTTTCCTATGGACAAAATGGACGCTCCAAACAGCGTACCAAGCTAAAGGAAAGAGACTAGCATCCAAGTCAAATTCCTATCCTTAGTGATGAAGTAATTCCAGGAACTTCTGATACCATCCATCCGATAGTAAGCAAAACGCTTCGACTTCAAATGTTTCTGCTGACCACCGCAGCTCTCTCCCTCACAACAGGAAGAAGAAACAAGATATACCTTGGCGACCGAGCCCTTTCATTCCGTATTGAAGATGCTTGAAGAGTTCAAACGCGATGATCCAAAATTCGCCTTTCCAGCGGCTCGACATGTCAGACTCAATCGATGTCTCTGGGAGTCGTGTGTCCCCAAACACATCGTTGGCCAGAGGTTAGAACCAAACGTCCAAATCTTGGAGGAGGCTTGTATACACCTAAGCAACGAGAGATACGGTCTTCAGCTTCGGCAAGATGAGCAGTTAGTTATCTCAACTGCACGTTTTCGAGCAGGCATTGGAATCATCCCGCGAACGACTAAGCAGCGTACTCATTAACTGTAACCACCCTTCCAGACTGAATATGGCAGGGTTACCCTGCCCTATTTTCTCAACACATTGATAATACAATGGACGTCGCTATTCGATGAGAATTGTCCCATAGAAAGCAGTTTGTGAATTTTAGACAGGGTATTTACCGCAAGTATGGCATAGAGTACCTACAATTCAATATCAAATTGTTCACTGAAAAACGTTGGCAAACAACTCCGCATGTTCTGGACCAATCCCACTTTCGAGAACCAATATATCATGCGCAAGGGGGCTTCCAATCCCAAAATCCGCACAAAATGGGAATCCCAATCCCAATTTTAAAATGGGATGGGATTCCCATCCAGATTAACCTTAAAAGCGGGATTCCCATATTTGTCTTGGCATTATTTTGGGATTTTGGGATGGGATGGGATTCCTATTTTCTATCCCAAAATCCCAAAATCCCATCCCATCCCGAAATCCCAGGGATTACCCCGTCCCAACGATCAGCCTATCTCTACTACCGAGATCGTGAGCCTGTATGTAGATAAGCTGGATCTACCTGCCAGTATGAGAATCTACCCTGTCTTTTATATTAATCTGCTCTGTTCCGCTGCTAAAGATCCTGTTCCAGAACAGAGTACTGATCCCCCAACACCTGTTGGAGTTAATAGACTAGAAGAATAGTAAGTTAAAGAAATCCTAGATTCCTGCTGAGAATACCGGGAACATGACAGACCACGCCTGAAGTATACTGTGAAATAGACTGGTTATAATTAACCTACTGAGAAGCCTACTGAGTATCTAGAGCATATAAAGCAAGTTGTCACCAACTACCATTGCCGCTATTCCTATACCAGCCTCAACAGAGCTTAGCTATAAGGAAGGGAGTACTGTTACAGTGCCAGCCTGAACTATTTATTCTGCCTGAATCCACTGCTTTATCATGTGATTCCGACTGTTTATCTTCCTGCCTGCTCATAATCCTGTTATAGCTTCTCAAGCTACGTCTCGTCTATCTGCCTGTGTATAGCCTGATCAGTAGCCTGCCTGTGTATTAGCTCTCTTAGCCTGCCTGCCCGAACCCGCACCCTGACACTTTTTGATGATCAACCTGCTATCTGACATTGACGTCAGATTATCTATTCATTCATTTTATTATTCTTGTATAGGGCTCAGATCGATATAGCCCTAGTTTACTATTTTAGTTAACCTAGTCAATATAAATTGATTATCTAATCTCTACTTGACCTAAGCCCTAGTTCTTCCCGATTAGGACTAGTGCTTCTGACATTAACTATATTCAATTTCTTCTTTTCTCTTTAAGCTTAAGTATTACTTTAAGATATTATTAAGTTTATCTAGTAAAAGCTCATCTTCACAAAAGTTATTAATTAATATATGTGTCAATGTTAGACTTGTTAAGCCCAGCCCACGAAACCCGGCCCAACCCGGCCCAACCCGCCAAGAAATGGGCTGGGTCGTCCAATACAATAACCCAGCATGGGCTGCGTTACTTCCCTGGATGGCCCACGGGTCAATGGGTTAGCCCGCAGGTTGCCAAGAGATAAAGTACAGTAATTATACTATTTACCCACAGTCGGACACAATTTGATGGGCAGGAATTATAATAATTGTCTTGTATTCATAACAACTATTAAGCTGAGGTAGCGCCGTTGGAGAACGGCGGACTGACCCAAGGCTCCCATTTCGCATGCCCATTCGCGTTCATCTCCGACCTGGTCGATCAATCGGTTGATTTGAACCTTTCTACAAACGTCTTTATTTCTTCCCCAATAAGATGAGGGTTATCTTCTTGCAAGAAATGGCTACCAGGACCAATACCAACGCTCCTTATATCTATAAAATCATGGGCCATCTCCGCTGCCTTTTCCGGCGATAACATAGTTCCTGGTTCAGCCCAAAACATCAGCTTTGGGACTCGGCTTTGCCTCAACCACTGCCAGTACATCTCCACTGCCTTGCTCACATCCTGCGGGTACTCATCAAACGGTATCTCATTTACAAATCGATAGATAGGCTCCCTATCTCTAGGGTCGAGAAACGGTCTGCGATAGTGCTGCATTTCGTCCTCTGACAAATCCCTTGTCACGCCTTGTCTTAGGCCGCCTTCGATTAGAACATTCTGTTCGATTAAAAGCTCACGTCCAGTAGTTTCGGTGCGAAATTTTTGAAAAAGATCGCGAGGTCCAGGGGGAAAGGCTTCCCATCTCAAGCCTCCGGATATAAATTCCATGAATACCAAGCCCGCTATTCGGAGCGGGTTCTTTCTCGCCCAGTCAAAACCTAGGGCAGAGCCCCAGTCGTGAACAACTAGGAAAATCTTGCCTGATTTTTCCTTTGGGGCCACAGCATCCATAAAGGCGGCCAAGTATGGAACATGTTCGCTGAAGAAGTAGCCATTTGAAGGCATCTTCCCCGAATCACCAAAGCCAACGAGATCTGGCACAATGCACCGAGCGATTGGTAATATATGAGGGATTATGTTGCGATAGAGATAGGATGAAGTCGGGTTGCCATGAAGGAAGACAACCGTTGGTGAAGTTTCAACTGGCAGACCAGTGTCGACATAGGCCATTGTAGTATCAATGACCGAGACACGATCTTTAGTGAATGGGAAACGAGGCGATATCCTTTGGGAGCTCATTGGAATGGATACAGGAAAGTGGTCCTGCACATTCAAGTGTCGGATTGGGAATCCAGAAAGGAGGATTTAAAGCCAAGTATTCAACGTGTGATAGGTTAACCACAATTAAGCAGATGGATATAGCTACTCTTTAAGAGTCCCTGTGGGATGTATATCTATTTGTATTTAATCGCGCAGACCAGGTCAACTCTGGAAGCAGGCGTGACTATGATGAACGATACTACGTAACGCTAGCCGGATGTTCCGCAACCGTTGTACTGGTCGCCACCCTTGGGAGTCTCTTTTCCAGGCTACGGGTCAGCCTACGGCAAGCCATAAACGCCACTCCGCAACGACTAAAGATCTGCTGAGGCAATTGACTGCCTAGCTAGTGGGTATTTCCATAATAATCTTACTTATTACAGCTCATCTGCTCTGTCTTCAACTGAATTAACAAGTTGGTGAAGAATGGGAAAATATCGGTCCGAGCTGCTGTTGAATAATTCGTACAATTAACGAACTTTTTACTTGACACGTTGTCATGTGCTCGTGGTTTATTTTAGAGCGTAGCAATACAAAAGCAATACAGCTTACATATGTACGTGCTTGTGTCCTGAAACGAACGAGGAACGAAGTGAGAGGAAGGGAAAAAGTCAACAAGGCCGCGAGGCCGTAGCAAAGCAAAGTGCGATTTCTATGTAGAGAGACTGCTGCCACGTGCACTTCTCATTTGTCCCCAAATCCCCCTCTTCACATTGGTTTTGGCTTGGCTTTAGGGTTCTAGGGCTTCATCCGTATGTTTCGCTTTCATGATTGCACTATTTTCTGTTTTACTGAACTTCAGTGCACTCATATTAATATGACGCACTTCGACATACTATCACATGTGGTGCTACTGTAATACCCTGTCTGTGTTACATTGTACAATCTTTGATTTATGCTATAAACGCTGCTTCTGTGGAGTTGACTCATCCCCCTGAGCTTCTCTCATTACATTATCTATTTGGACTATTACTGGCAGACAGCTCCATGTCATGGCGCTCGAATACCATTTCACTGAAGTTATAGCCAAGTTTCCAGCAAATATTCCCCCTGATAGGACCGATATATACACTAGAGGATATTGAAAATATACAATAGTGGGTCAAAAGTATTGCAACACCTACCCGCAACGCGTACCGCGTCAAATAATCAACAATTTCAAACACTTACCACTCAACCAAAATGAGGTCTTTTAGAACCGAAATTAGTGGAAATAGAAGGCCTAGATCTGAGCTTTCTACTGAGCGATGTTTCGCTCTACTCAAAGGACTAGAGGCAGGCGAAAATGCCACTAGACTTGCCCAGAAATATAAGGTTGTGCGCTCTACTATCTACCGAACATGCGAACGCTTTCAACAATGTAAAGCTTTAGTATCAGGCGCTTGCTCTTGTAGGCCTGAAAAGCTCACTCCTACAGCTAAATACTATATATTTTCAATAGTTTGTTAAAGGCCTAGAATGAGCTACACGGCATTTATTGCCAGTACTTTCAAAGATGTCTTAAAGTCAACATTAAAGCATGTTTTACGCAAATATTATATAAAAAAATGGAGAAGTAAAAAACGGATTGCTTGAACAGTTAATATAGCAAAAAATGCTATCAATTTATGTGTGTGTGTGGCTTCAATATAACAATTTTAGCTATATTATGTTTTTAGACAAATATTCAGTTTAACAGGATCCCAATAATCCTAGTTATTATGTTTCATTTTGTAAATAGGGCCTACAGGCAGGACCTTGTTAATCTAGTGCTCTATGGCAAGAGTATTTCTATAATAATTTGGGCTTCTATATAGGATAGTGGCCGGCCAGAATTAATAGTATTGGAACAGGACAAAATGGCCAAAAATCAGGGATATATTAAGTAAAACCTATATTAAATGCTTAGAAAAAGGCCTTATACTAATCTGTAAGCTAGGCATTAGATTTAAGCAAGATAATACATGCATCATATATCTAAAAAGACATAATCTTAGTTTAAAAAGTATAGAATCTGGATAATTAAATAGCCACCCCATTTACCTGATCTTAACCCTATTGAAAACCTCTAGAATCTATTTAATCAGAAGCTAAAGAAGCTCTATCCAGAGCTTTTTCTAGAGAGAATATCAGGGCTCGGCATGGAGAGGGTTAAGCAGAGTATTCAGACTGTGTGGAATAACCTTGATTAGGCGGTTATAAATCGTTTAGTTCTATCCTGGCCACGCAGGGTTCGGACTGTATACCAAGCACTGGCTGGCATACTAAATACTGAAATGGGGATTCTATAGAACTAAATCTAAGCTTAAAGTATGCAGAATTCGTTGAGATATTGAGGTTTGAAATTAGGGGTAGGCTGACCATTGGGATGGGATGGGACGGGAAATTCCCATTCCCGTCCCATCCCATCCCATTCTTGGCATCCCATTTCCCATCCCATTTTCCCTCTCTTGGCATCCCGTTTCCCATCCCATCCCAAACGTAGGGCTAGAACGGGAATCACAATCCCAAAACCTACACAAAACGAAATTCCCATCCGGATTAACCATAAAAATGGGATTCCCATATTTGTCTTGGCATTATTTTGGGAATTTGGGATGGGAAAAGATTCCCATTTCCCATCCCGAAATCCCAAAATCCCAAAATCCCATCCCATCCGAAATCCCTGGGATTATCCCGTCCCAACAGTCAGCCTATGTCTATAGCCTATCTACACGTTTTTAGATGTTGGGTGCTTCTGATTATGGTGTAGAATGATTGATTCTCTTAAGCTGCAGGAGCAGGATGCTGCTAAGTTCTACATACAAGCGGTGAAAGGGGCGGTACAGCAAGGCAGGCAGAAAGGAACGGGAGCGAGACGGAGACCACGGAGGCATAATGGTGGAATAGAACCGCAACAACGCAACATTAGATACCAAATTTTTATTACACCTTAATAGGTCACGTGGCATAATCAATTTACTGTAAAGAATATATAATATATTTAGAATATAGTGAAAATATATACATATTCTGAACATAAACTGCAGTAATTAAACTACCAGCCATAGACTTGTTAGGCCTGTGGGTTGGGCCGGGTTAAGATGATAGACAAACCACCCACAGGTCAAGATATATATATATGAACCACCCGCAGGAGCCCACAGCTGTAGATCTCTTCCTACTGTAGTAATAATTTATATTCTTTATATAATACAGTCTTATAATACAGTAATGTATTTATATTACTATAGGTAAATAATATATTTTCATCGCGCTTTGATAACAAAAGAGAGACTAGCTATATCCGATCCAGTCCAAGCATCAAAGGTACCAAGGTAGCAGAAGGGGATCACTGGCCAACAATCTCAGGCCCAGAGCAGTGAGCTACCACCCGTTACCTTAGTCAAGTGAAACGGAATATATCTCCACGGACTGTAATGTGGCCTTTCCTCCTATCGCCTCCAACAATAAGCCGTTAGATGTGCTACTCGGGAATATAAGGTCTGAGATCACCCCCTCTCCTTGTCCACCGAAAACCTCCACGGAGCAAGTGTCAACCAATACACGGATGTTAACCAGTTCGGTATCGTCAAGCACCAGTTGGGCGTTATGGATACCGCCTGCTGCAGGGTCATAAGTGTTGTCTCCGCTTGCCCTTCGATCAACAGATAATGTCGAGTTCGCCTGGGAATAGCGGATGATCGTCTGCTCCGACCCTGCCTTCCTGACCGCCAGCGACAGTGTAGCCCCTGGGTCGAGGAGAAAAGCAACTCGAATATCTAAACTAATTCCGTGCGTTGAAGAAAGCAATGTTTGGCCTGGCTCAATCGTTCGATTCTGGATGCTTATAAGGGAGTTGCCGATTGTCCGTAACTCGCTAATGGGATGCTGCAGAAAGTATCGCTTGGATCCCATTTGCTTGAGTGTTAACGAGCGGGGAAAAGAGAGCATCCCTTTCCATGTATTTGTAGGAGGATTTGAGCCGTAACTATTCATCACGGCGGCGATAATGCGTCTCCCATCCGACACAGGTATATTTTCCCAGCTTAAGGCACCATCGAAATCGCGGCCATAGTCTAGCCATAGTGTAGAAGAATCAACAGGGTCGGCCACGAAGGTTTTCCCATCGAAGGATCCTGTCAGCGCCACGACGCCATTGCCACCAGCTGGGGATCCCTGGGCTGGTGTAAACATCAACACCCAGGTGGTCTCGTTGGTGCCATGGATTGGAAGCTCAAACATATCGGGTACTTCCCACCCTGTAATTGAGGATGGGAAGCCCTTGATCTGGGTGGATAGGAGGTCACTCTCCCATATCCAGCTTTTGGAGTCTGTAGAAGACCAAAATGTCATTTTATTCTGTCCTCCATGCGCGAGGACCATAACCCATTTTCCTGATGGAGAGTGGAAGAATACTTTGGGGTCACGGCTCTCTAAGCCTCCAGTCACATCATGGGGCGCTTCCTGGACACTTGCTATGACCGGGTTGCCCGGCAGCTTAACATAAGTCGTGCCAAGGTCCAAGCTGAAGGCAAGGCGCTGATCCTGCGTACCGTTCGAAGGAAAGTATCCAGTGAACCAGGCCAGGTACGGCGGGTTGTCAGATGTTCCTAATCCGGAGGTATTGTTGGCATCGTAATAAGAGGTGCCTGTGAACGCTTCAATACCGTTCTCGTTTTCGATGGCAACAGGTAGGTAAGCCCAATGAAGCAGATCAGAGCTGGTTGCATGGCCCCAGTTTATATTACCCCAAACATTTGCCGTTGGATTATGCTGGTAAAAGAGGTGCCAAGTCGAGCCAATCTTGATTAGCCCATTGGGCTCGTTCATCCAGTTCTTATCTGGGGCAAAATGAAAGGCAGGACGAAAGTCATCCGCCACCACCTGGCTAACAAGGGCCCAAGCCACAGAAAGGGCTCTGAGTGTCACAGTGATCTTTAAGATATTCATGACTGGGATATAAAATGATTTGCTCAACAGCTTTGAACTTTGTAAAGAGGGAAGGAGAGAAGAACAAGTCTGCTATAACACATCCTCTACCCTGGATGATCGGAAGTAAATATAGACTTCGCCCGGATGATACCATCAACATTTTCCCCTCAAACTTGATAAGCTGCAGGGAACAAAAGGACAGGAAGTCAGAATATTCATCATCTGGAGGAATCCTAATGGTCAACTTCATTACTCCGTAATCTGGGATAAATTGGAGTGTAACGCCGAAGATCCTCCGTCCCAAGCTGGAAACTTAATTAGTGTGTGGGGATAACTGTGGAGTAAACTCGGGATAATGAGTAGTAGTACCGGCATCTTCATGGAAATGCTCCGTGGAAGCTTCTCTGACCCCCACGGGCCAAAAGCTAACTGCCCCTTCTACTAAGCAGACCCATATACCTTCGACATGTTGGTATGGTTGCATATGAACGAGACTTCCTTGCCAAAGAACAATAATCAAGCAAGAGGTCATGTCGCGGTGATTACAAATATTAAAAGTCGTTAATGAAAGCGGACACCTAACCGGCCGGCCGGACGCAAAGGACAATCAACATGTTGATTTGCAGAGAATCTACGCTAGAGAAGAAGATGGCTCAATATTCTATTCAAGAAGGAGGCGGATTTTTAACTTCTTGATGTTTATCAGTTAATAAAGCGCTACAGAAGGCAAAGAAAGAGAGGAGTCTATACCATCAATAATAATGCTATGAAGGCCACCACGATCCAGCAGTTTAAATAAAGAAGGCCATAATCAGTTAAATTATCCTAGTAAAATATGTTATTGTTTTATTTAAGTAGGTCGCGTGCCGCGTTCCTGCTTATGAATGGTCTTCGCGGGGATGATGGTCACGCGTCCACTTTGTCCTGGATGGTGGTTGCAGATGACGAGGCCTCGTTTTTCAGGTTACAGGTCGGATAGGCTCGTTTAAATGCCGAGGTGGGACCTAACTTAGTTGTGTGACCATGGTATTGTGTTGAAACATACGGACGTCCTACGCCGTGGTTGTAGAGATAGTTATAAGTTAGAAAGCACTCTTATATAATCAACCTCATAGGGCTGCGCAGGCCATCACACCTGCTCCTATCCAGATCCCAGATATCGAGGGCTATAATATTATGTAGGGATGATAAATCAGGTCAGTTCTGGCTTCAATAGCCATTATACCTAATAAGTCCTTTCGAATTGCTATCAGCACTCTATGATGCTTATGCTCTCCTCTTTCCGGCCAGTAAATTAAATAAGCTGAATGTCGAAAATCACATGCGATATAGGGCTCCTGCAAGCAGATAATATCTGCCTGTCTCTGGGGCCCTGTCTCCAGGGCTGCTACAGTAAGAGCATATGCCCTGCGACAGTTCTGTTGGATCACTAGCGTTGAGATGGGTTGGTAGACTCTAGGGGCCTAGAAGTCTGGATATCCTCCATCACTTGGTCCCGGGAGGTACTTGGTAGTGGTACTTCAATTACTGTCTGAGGTATTCCTAGGGCTGAGCTAGGCCTAAGATTATCAATCCTAGGATTACTAGATACTGAAATACTTCTTAAGTGCTCTTTAATAACTACCTGAACTGCTGGAAAGCTGGGTAGTATAGGAGAAGCTTGATTTCTATATCTTTGGGCTGTTTGTTTGCTAGGGTAACTGGTAGCTGGAACAGGATGCCTACCTCCACAGTTACTATATCTTGCTGGGGTGTGTTGGCATGCTTTGCCTCCCCTAGCTGAGCAGCCTAGCACAGAACATGTATAATTTGGGCCTTTATGGGAGCCAGTGGGAATATAGTATTTTGGTAAATATCTATTACAGGCCCTAAAGCTCTTATACCCTATTCTGCAGTACTAGTAATAAACTATATCAGGTTCTAGTTCTCAAAAATACTTTATCAATCTCCAGGCCTCTAATTGTTAAGATCTGTTGTGATCTCAGGGGAAAGATAGGCAGAATAGATCTGTATCAGCTACACGTACATAGCCTACTGAGGACTGGATGCCATTCTGATAGATACTCAATTCTATGGATGACTGTATCAACTATCTTGATCTCTTCTACTTATCTTCTAATAGATAAAGCATTCAGGGACTTGGCTTGGCTTGGCTACTATTTAACGTCACTCGGCGGATTACACGGCAATGTGATCCGCGGCCTCCCTAGGGGCAACTGGACGTGCTACTTAAACAGAAATCTCACTAGAAACTAGCCAGATACACGCTTGAAGCAACAAATCTGAATAATATATATTAAAAAAGGATAGAAGAAGTGTCTGGTACTATCCTGGCCTAGTCTTCTAGAGACAGGAACCTGCTTTAGCTACCTATAGATAGAAGGAAATACTGCCTGTCTCTATCTAGATAGAAGTATAGACTGTTATACTAACTAGTGCTTAAGCAGATCCAGTTTAGATATATATTTCTAAAGAAGAATAAGTCTTATATAATATAGCTAAACTCTTCAGTCTTAGCAGCTATACTAAGGAGCCAGTTAATTTTCTCTGACAGGCCTGCCTTTAGGCACTTCTATCTATCCCTCCAGCACTTTCTGATATATATGTAACGGCTCAGGCCAATGTAGATAGATTGATCTTATCGGGTAGCTCTAGTACGAGAGAATCGCTTGAAGGAGAGAATATCCCACGAGTGAAGCTCTGGGATATCACCTATCTTGAATACAAACAGAACAAACAGGTAATATATCAGACATTATCTTCCACTCCAGTGGCCTGTATAGAGACTGTGCCTTTATATTATCCTTCTATTCAGAAATGGCTGTTCTCAGCTATTCAAGTTCTCTGTCTTGTCTAATCTAGTGGTCTATTGTTATCCAGATAGTTCTCTAAGAAAGTATCTTGCTCTACTGCTGTTATCCACTTCTATAACTGTAATGATAGTCCTGGCTGCTCAGAGTGTTATATATGGAAATCCTTTATTTATAAGGAAGAGTTCTTAAAGTTACTTACTAGATACTAATTTAAGTCCTTATTATAGCTAATCTATCTAATACAGTAATATAGCTTATTCTATATCTTTTTAACTGCCAAAACTTTATCTATCTCCTATTTTTCTTATCTATTAACCTTAATTAAAGGTGCTTTGTCCTGTACTTATTCTGGTAACAGATCTCTGGCAGCCTTTCTAAGCTTATCCGGTAAAAAGATAGGGTGGACCTTGATTAAACTTAGTAAATCAAGCTTATAAGTATTGTCTATTTTCTTAGTAATTCTAAATTCTTCTACTATTTATTAATTTAACTTTCTACTAGGATATCCTGTACTCCAGTGTTTTATTATAATATATATTCAGTCTCTAATCTTAAAATCTATCTCTCTCCAGTAGTAATTGGCTTGCTTCTTTTAAGATTTCTATAACTTAGTGGTCTATTTCTTTATCTAGTTCCATACTTTCTTTAACTAATATTTCCAGTGGCAAGTCTCCTGAAAGTCAGGACTCTTTAGTAATACAGGATCTGCTGGGGGCTGCTAGTCAAAAGACACTTAAGATTTATAACTGTAGTTAACTGTAAAAGAAAATAGGCCTGTAAATTTACTTCTTAAAATAGTAGCAGTATAGTTAATAAGTAATAATAAGTCTAACTAGTTATTCTGGTAATAGTTTATAAATAGCTAAAGGCGCTATATAATATACTAATTAATAATCTTTATCTAGCTATTAGTCTAGAAATATTTACTAGTTAATAACTTTAGTTTTACTTCCAGAATCTTATAGAGCTCTGTCCAGAATTTAGAGATAAACTAGTTATCTTAATCTAAAATAATAAAATCCAGAGCTTCTTTCTAACAGTAGATATATTTTATATATAATCTTGCTATATTATAAGTATTGGTAGTCTTGTAATATAGTATTAAAACAGATCTTTTTAATAAATAGTTAATAATTATAAAGACACTGTTAAATCCCTTTTTATTCTTTGATATAGACTGAAAGTCTATGGATATATACTGCTAGGGATATAATAGAAGCAGTAAAGAATTTAATAAGCTAGAAAAAAAATCTTAAAGTATTTAGTAGTACTGACAGATCTTATAGTTATATAGATACTGGTTAATATCCTTAAGTATTCCTGGCCAGTAGTATCTCACTTAAATAAGCTGGTATATTTTATTCTTTCCAGGATATATAATTAACTTTTAGTAATATATTTTATTCAGTAGTTTTGCTTATAATTTACTATCCTTAGGGACCACTAATTATTCTCTATATAATAGTAGATTTTCCTGTATATTCTAGGGTACTACTGAAATCTGTATCTTCTGCTGTATATCTTATAAAGAGATATTCTTATAGTTAGTCTTTAGAATCTTATCTATTACTTGTATCTCTAGCTATAAAAGAATAACTGTTACTACAGTATATCTCTTCTATTTAGCTTATATTCTCTTATCCAGGTATTCTGATTATAAGAGAATTTATGTCTAGTAAAAATCCTGGTTAGCTTCTAACTATTTAACCAGGTATTTTTATCTTAATAGTATATCTATCAGAATATTAAGCTTTCTTAATTAGTACTAGATTATAAAGTTAAAATCTATAAGGAATTTATACTATCTTGACTATCTAGTATTTAGATATTATTTAGTTATAAAATATTCAAGAGCTCAGTAATTAGTATATATTAGAAATAATTTAATTTACTAGAGTCTAATTAATTCAGTCTACTATTTCTCTAGTACTCTAATAATTATCAACAGCTCTTTATTATAGATCTTATAGTTATACTCTGCCAGGACTAAGATCTTTAAATAAAATATAACAGGATACTAGTTCTCTTTCTATTTCTGTATTAGGATATCTGCTATAACTCTGTCAGAGATATCAGTTTTAATTTATATCTTTTGGTTAGGATTATAGTGTCTTAATACAGGGATTTCTGTAAGTCTCTGCTTTAAATAATTAAAGGCCTCTCTATAGTGAGAATTCTAATAGAAAATAATATTTTTTTAAGTTAGTAAGTTTAGCAGTCTTATAATCTAGCTATAGT